TCAGGCTACGCTACCAGTATCACGGTAAGGAGTCACAAAAGATTTATTCACATTTTAGGAATATCCTATCAATTTTCTGGTAATGCAGAATGTATTTAATATACATTACCTTGTAATAGTATATTCGGGTCACTAAACTTAACAATTTTTTCTTGGCATCAAAACAATTTTTTTTACATTTCTCCGTAAAGCTGTATTATATCGAAACACACCTAATGTTTCCCCTTCCCCCAATGAAAACCGAAGTTGACATTGCAAAAAATGCGTACCCCCTTACAATCGTTTTTCGTAGAATACCAGCTGTTTTCAATTTACGTTGTGATTGGGGAGAGAAGAGTAAATGTGTATTTGGTCTCCATTGTATTTGACTCTCTGTGTTGTTTTCTCAACGGTTGTTGGATACAAGACTCAGACTCCTCAGTCAATTTTTTTATATGAGAATACGGATGTGCAACACAAAAAGTGGAGTATTGATAGTACTATTGTTTTTCGAAGTGGTAGTACAAAAAGAAAAAAACTGCAAAGAAATAGTAGAGTTGTAGTTGTTGCGATTATACAGTCATTTTCATTTAGCTTCACTTTGTAGTGACTCTCGGGAGGAGGTAAAATATGTAAAAAAAGTGGGTAGGTAATGTAGGGATGCATGTTTGTGACACAATGTGTCAAATAAAATTACGACTGAAAGCTCCGAAGAGAGAAGAGCTGTGAACACACACAAATAACTCAACACTAGTGCAAAAGTCACAAAAATGTCATAATGCGTGGTTCTAATAACTCAAAATGTTCTGCCATCTACGGTGGTATTTAATTTAAAAAAATAAAGGGTAATTTTTTAAGAGCAATGGAAAAGTTTTTCAATACAAAAAAAAAAAAAAACGAGTTAAAAAATATCAGTGGGATTTGCCGACAGATGTATACCACCAGCCCATACTCGATTATTTAAATATATTTTGACTTCTGTTATGATTATTCAAATTGTTGACCCTCTATGGAGTATGGGTCAATATTGACCATACTCCATAGTATGGAGTAAATAAATATTCTATAAATATTGCTACATGCCAGGTTTGGACTATATCGACTACTTTTTCACTTTTTATGAGATATGTGAAAATTTTTAGAAAATGTTAAAATGTTCGTGAGGCGCCAGACATAGTCGACCGAAGAATTCCATTTTCATACCTCATCTAATACAGATAAAAATATTGGCATTGGCAAAATTACAAGGAAATCGAACATTTATATCCAATTTTGTGCGAAATCATAAATTCAATATTCTTAACAGGTTTTAGCTTAATAGAAATATTTAGATACAGCAAGTTGTAAAGAATCGCTGACTTGTTTTACAAGTTATGACAGACAAAAATATAAAATATTTAAAATTGTGACCCTTTGTGGGTGAGGTACCAGAAGGAGTGGGCCGATTTATTCCATCTTCAAAGCAGATCTTGTGTTAGTAGATGGTGTGGGAGGGAGGTACCAGAAGAAATAGTCCGATCTCTACCATATTTATAAAAGACCTTGTGCCAAGTCTGAATGGAATCGAATGTTAATTTCGCGTTTTATGAGTTTCATAGATATTCAAAATTTTAACCCTTTGTGGGGGAGGTACCAGAAGGAGTTGCCCTATATTGCCCATCTCGGAACTTGATCTAAGTTAGATAGTAATATTACGATGTACCAAGTTTGGGCAACATCGGATACTTCCTTCGAGAGATATCGTGCGCACCAATCAGCAGACAGACAGACGGACGGATGAGGACAACACTAAATCGACTCCAAACGCTAAATCGACTATAAATGTCCTGAAGTGAATTTGATCCAAAGAGTCCTAGGTTCTAAAACCGTTTTCGATGAGGCACGTTTTGGCCGTATCGAATGATATATACCCTATGTAGCCAAAAATGCGGAGGGTATAGTAAATATGAATGGTTTTAGTCATATTTCCCATTTACTTTCTTATTCGATTCTTATTCTAATAGGGATGACTTCCATATATTATCTAATTTCACCACAAATTGCAATTCTCAATTGTTCACCCTCGTAATGTTATGAATTTGACATGCACTCTTGCAACAATAACGGCACGTAATCCCTTTTTATATAAAAAATTTTACTGGCAACCCTACCACAATAGTTGTTTATATTTGACGTTATTACGGTGTTTATATTCTACGCAACACAGTGAGTGAGAGAAAGAGCGAAACCAAAAGCCAATTTTTGTGGCATGAGAGAAGACGCACACAAAAATAAGGAGAGTGTGAGAGATTCCGTTTCATATATATTTTTTTTCATAAAACTAGAGAAAGTGCAATAAGCAGCTGAGTACTGCAAACAACTCTCAAATACATAAAGTACACACAAAAAATAAACAACTAAAAAACAATAACAACATAAAACCGAATGACTGGCTGGCTGGCTGGATGGTTGGTTGGCCGATTGTGAATGCCGCTAAAGAAGCATATGATGATATGATAATAGTAGTAAAACACAGAGATAGAGAGAGAAGCCGAAGAGAGTATACAAAACTACTACGACGTAGTAGTATTGTGTGGTGAAACAAGTGTTGAACAAGTGCAGAAAAAAACAATACGGAAAAATAGTAATGGAAAATAGGAAAAAATATTGTAGGTCCTATTTTCCTGATGGGCATTTTCTCCATTTGCGTGAGTGTGCATGTTGATGTTACGACGTTTGGTCCTTCGTGTTTTTTTCTTTCTTCTCAAGTTGCTCTGCATCGATTGATTCAATAAAAAGGAGGAGAAAAATATGCAATAAGAAATAAGAATTCTACAAAAAGTAAAAAATATTGCAAAAATTGCGATTAATTAAGAAAAATATTTAAATAAACTGTGGAAGTGTTTAACATACATTTTGTGAGTATATTGTTGTCTTTGCATCCAGTTTTGAATTGTGTGAGTGTGTGCAAAGTGCAGTGTGCCCATGGAAAATCTGTAGTATCCTCTCAATGTGGAGGCGTGTGTCATGGTCGAAAGGACGTTATTTTCGCTTCTTGGCAGATATTGTGAAAAATCGTTACATTTTCTAGAATAAGGCTATATGTAGGACATATTGTACATGAAATCAGCTGACACAAAAATGTTGCATACCTACACATATATAGTACATATATATGAACATATGTGTATGTAACTATGTCAAAGGATGTATTTTTATTTATTTTGAAAACTAAATTTTTTTAAGTGGATATGTGAAAAAATTTGTAGGGGATTTACCACAGCTAGGACATTCGAGTAAGCGAGGAAGAAGTATTCTCCTACCAACCCATCTCTCCATGTGCAGCGAGTGGATATTCTTTTTAGGATGGCTGATATACATAGGCTCAGAAACCCATGGTCCTGGGATTAGGAATATGTTAATCAGTCTTTATTGATTATTATTATTATTCAGTGTGAAAGGCGATGGTTACCCCTGTTCCGGCGACACACTATGGCCCTCGTCCTAAAATTTATTGTCTTGAGGGATTCTTTGTCTGATAGTGTGAAAATAGACCTAAAAGAGCCAAAGAGTTGCTTCGATTGGCCGAAAGTGGTGAAGGTGCCGAATTTGTTCTTCTCCGATGAGAAATTATTCGTTGTCCAGCATTTTTTAAACGAACAAAATGATCGTGTTTACTTGCCAAAGAGTTCAGCTGAAAATGTGCACCTTCGGTTGGCCACCAGAACTCAAGCACCGGCCATGCTGATGGTGTGGGCCGCCATAACAGCCGATGATCGCTCTCCGCTCGTATTAATCGACGGTGGCATCAGAATAAATGCCGAATATTATCGCGAAACTATTCTGGAGGGTGTATTAAAGCCTTGGGCACGCAAACATTTTGGCCGCAGACCGGCAGGACTCAGCACCAACGCACACACTCAGCACGCGTCATCCAAGTATGATTACAAAATGAGGTTCCTCGCTTCATTTCCCGCGCACAATGACCACCGAAATCTCCGGATACCAATCCGTTGGACTATTGTGTCTGGAGTATTTTGAAGGTTGGCGCTAAAAAATATCAAAGTGTCGATCACCTCAAGCTAGCGCTTCGCCGGGAAGGTGAGTGTGGTTTTATTGGCCGTTTGAAGGCTATAATTTGTGACAAAGGTGACCAATTCGAACAAATTTTAACTTATTGTAAAATTTGATGCTATTTCCGAAATATTTTGCTTTCATTCAATAAAATAAAAAAAAAAAGTGAAAATTAAGGCGTTTGACTTTGTTGCAGTTTTTTTTTATCTTACCCTGTATATTTTTGATCAGTATAAAATTCTATGTCGATTTAGCGATGTCCTTCCGTCGGCCCGTCTATCCGTCTGTGGAAGTCACTCTAGCTTCCAAATGAAATGAAGTAGGTTGATCAAATTTTACTCAAATGTGTATTATGTCTGCAGGACTTTTGGTATTGAAAATGGGTCATGTAGGTCCACGTTTTGGTATAGCCCCCATATAATTGTACCTCCATTTTTTCGGTACTTTGAATGTTTAAATATATTATTCACCGAAAATGCTTCAAATTTCGTATTTGAAGTTCGTAATGTGTACTACAGCTATGCAGGAAATTGTCTGTGCTGGTCCACGTCTTCGTAAAGCCCCCATATAACGGTACCCCCAATATTCGGTATTTTGATAATTTTAGCGACATTAAGTTCGTAGTGGATACTACAGCCTAAGACAGAAAATTGTCTATGTAGGTCCAGGTTTTCGTATAGCCCCTGCATCTCCCCATATTCGGTATTTTGATGATTTAAGCTACATTTTAACAGAATTATTAACGGTTTGTATTTTTTTGAAAATTTCCAAATTTGTTCCAAATGATGGAGGGTATTCAAAGATCGGCCCGGCCGAACTTAAGCTTGTTTACTTCTAAACCTTTCTGAAACCGAGAAACATTTGTTTGGTTTATGTCTTTGCTTATTAAATTAAAATATATTTTCAAGGATTTGTGTCCGCTTTTTTTAAAACTTATTCACATTATGTCCTCTCTTTTTTCATTTCAGGTGCACCCTCTACAAAAGTGAAAAATTAAAAAAATTCAAGTGAATTAAAAAAATAAAAATACAACATGGATGTAATACCTATAGAGCATTAAGTCACACAAGATATAAAAAAATATTAATTTAATGCTTTTTATCTTCAACTAAGTGCTTAACGAATTTTTTGTAATTTTTTTTTTAACTACAAAAAAAAAAAAAAAAAGAATCGATAAAAAATAATTGAAATTTGTGATCAATTCGAATTGATTGATATCCACCTTGTGGGGAGTTATCAAACGTCTAACACCAAAAATTAAAAGAATATATATCTACATACATATATAACACGTCACAACATCATATACATACATATATATCCATTGTCGTCCAATCTAAAAGCAATATAATAATTTATAAATATAAATAAATACAAATTCATGTTATATTATTTCTTCATTTAAAAAAAAAGCAACGATAATGATATACATGAAATATACGAAAATAATTAATATTAAATATCTAAAGATATTTGCTGAAAGGAAAATGCAAAGAAAATAATAATAAAGTGTAAGAAATTACAAGGAGAAATTTTGAAGAAAAATGACAGCATTTAAATAAAAATTAAAGATTTTGTGAAGAAAAAAAAATTAATAAAAATTCTGAAAATTGAAAATAAAATTTTGGGTGTTGTGTTCCTTTTGATTTTTTTTTCAAAAAGAAAAAATTATAATAAAATATTGTTCCTTTCTTTCTTGCAAAATATACAAAAAAAAAAAATTGAAAATTTATAAATAAAATAATGCTTAGATATATATCCAATGGAAAATAAATATGTGCTTACACCACAATACGAAAAAAATATATTTACTAATTACTAAAAGTGAAATATAAACTTCAACATAATAAATTGTGAAAAAGAAATTTAAAAATAAAAATCAAATAAATATTTGATCGCTTCTTCGGTCTTAAGTTTCAAAAGTTACAACACAAATATGCGAACCAAAAAGTATTTCAAAATTTAACAAAAAAAAATCAAATCAATTTATTAGCATTTGGAAAACAAAATTTGGCATTAAGTAATAAAAAAAAAAAATATCCATATAAAACAACAAGTTTTATAATTACATATATATATTATAATTGAAGAAATTAAAAATCACTTAATTAAAAATTAACAACACCAAGCCACCAACAACCAACCTCATCATCACTCACTCACCCCTAAACATCTTTGGAATATCAGAATTGAAAATTCTTGAGCGGTTTTCTTAGCTCCGGATTTTTTTCACATCCCCTGTCATCGCTCTCATTGCCACAACAATTCGACGCCTCAAAGTGAAATTAATGCAGCTATGGCCTACAATTGTCGTTACGGCAAGCGCAGCAATTTTCGTCCCAAAGGTAAGTCGCGAAAAATATATTTTAAATCAATGTTTTTTAATTTTAAATTTTTTGTTTAAATTTTATTTTGAATTAGATGACATCATCATTTATTTCTAAGGATATATTGTTTTTTCATATTACAAAATTGTGCAGAGGAAATATTCATTACTAGGCAGTGCCTGCCACTTCTTCAGTGAAAAGTCCACCTCAAAATTTTAGAGTTAGGCCTTTTTGGTACTCAAAATTCACACATCGTACTAAATTTTCAGATTTTCAAGGTTTTATGTTCTGTCCAAGTTTATCCTTTTTCGGAAAGAATAACAAGAAAATGTTAAGCTTTTACACCAAAGAGACTTCAAAATCTTTTATCTTCAGGTTTATCAGTAAAACCATTGCACCCATATCCAATATTTCCTTCCAAAACTATTTCGACGCATCCAAATGTGTATACCCTAGAAATAAACAGTGATCTAAGCATTTTAGAATTTCAGTTCTTGGCCTTAATCCAATACCAAATGTTGTAACAATTAGTACGCATATCCAAAACAAATCTACATCTCCCCATCCTAGACACCAACAATGATCCAAAATTAGTACCACATCAAATTTCAGCTCTCTTCCTTCACCCAATACGAAATTAATTACTATTTAGAACTTTGATATCTCAGATCCAAATATCAACACAGACCTCAATATCAAATGTTGGGATTCCAGATCTATCACTTCACCCAATCCTCGATTTAGTACCACTTAGAACTTTTCGTACAAAAATATAGGAATCATTTTCAAAACCGCCTTCATATCTTAACCACAGACAACAACAGTGACATCAATATCAAATTTCGGGATTCCAGCTCTATCCCTTCACCCAATACTCAATTGGGTACCTCTCAGTACTTTTCGAATAATTATTGTAGACATTTCCAAAACCACTTCGATGTCTCCACCTCCGTATCTTAAACACAGACATCAACAGTGACATTTATATCCAATTTCAAGATTTCTGCTCTTTCCTTCATCCAATGAAAAATTTAAAACTATTTAGTAATTTTCGAACAATTATAGTACGCATTTGTAAAAACCACTTCACTCAATACTCAATTTAGTACCACTTAGTACTTTTCGACAATTGCTGTACACATTTCCAAAAAAACCACCCCATATCTTATCCACGGACATCCACAGTGTCATCTGCATCAAATTTCAGAATTTCAGTCCTATCCCTTTAATCACTTCCAAATTTAGTACTATTTAAATTTGGTACAAATGTTGTACCATTTACTACTTTTCGTACATTATAGTATAAATTTTCAAAACCACCCCCCCATTTAAATTTCAGATACCAACAGAGACCATAGAATATCAAATTTGAGGGTTCCAGCCTGATACCTTCTCCCAATATCAAATTTAGTACCATATCAAATTTCAGATTTTAATATCTATTCCTTTAAACAAGACCAAATTTAGTAACACTTTGTACTTTTCGAACAATTATTGAGCACATTTCCAAAAACCACCACCATATCGTAACTCCAGATGGCAACAGAGACCTCAATATAAAAGTTCGGGATTCCAGTCCTATCCCTTTACCCAATACTAAATTTAGTACCATTTAGTACTTTTCGTAGAAATATGGGACGCATTTCCAAATCATCACCAAATTTCAAGCATAGATACCATCAGTAATCCAAATATATGAAATAAAAAAATTGTATCTCTATCCCTTCACCCAATATCAAATTTAGTACGATTCCAAATCCCAAAACAACTTCCATATCTCAGATATTAAGAGACACAGATCTCATCAGTAATCGAAAATCAAATTTCAGAATTTTATCTCTATCCCTTAACTCAATATCAAATATAGTACCATTTAGTACTTTGCGTACAATTATAGTACACATTTCCAAAAATTTCGGGCTACACATGAGCAGCGACCCTAATACTAAATTTCAGATTTCAAGTACTTTTTGTTTACCCAAAAACCAAATTTTACCAAATATGGTACAATTTAGTACTTTTTGTGCACCACTGGTACACATTTCTAAAATCACCTCTTTATCACAAACCTACCACCAACAGGGACCCCAATACAAAATTTAAAATTCCAGCTTCATTCGTTCACCCTTAACCCAACTGTTCAAATTTAGTACCATTTAGTACAGTTCGCCCACTTAGTACACATTTCTAAAACCACCATACCATACAGGGTGATATAAAAAAACTGCAACACCAATTTTTTTGCATTTTTTTTAAATTTTATTGAATGAAAGCAGAAAATGTCCTTCAAACGGCCAATAAAACCGTCACACCATGCCTGAATGTTGCTCTGCCGTATTTTGGCCCATTCCCGGCGAAGCGCTTGCTTAAGGTGATCGACACATTGGTATTTTTTAGTGCCAACCTTGCTTTCCAAAATTCTCCAGACACAATGTCCAACGGATTGGTATCCGGAGATTTTGGTGGTCATTGTGCGCTGGAAATGAAGCGAGGAACCTCATTTTGTAATCATTTTTGGGTTGCGCGTGCTGAGTGCGTTGGTGCTAAGTCCTGTTGGAATGTCCAAGGTCTGCGGCCAAAATATTTGCGTGCCCAAGACTTTAGTACACCATCCAGGATATTTTCGAGATAATATTCGGCATTTATTCTGATGCCACGGGCGACCATCGGCTGTTATCGCGCCATCATTACCACACCATCACTATGGCCGGCTCTTGAGTTCAGGTGGCCAACCGAAGGTGCACATTTTCAGCTGGCCCCTTTGGCAAGTAAACACCATCATTTTGTTTGTTTACAAACTGCTGGGCAACGAATGTTTTCCCATCGGAGAAAACCATATTCGGTAGTTGACCACTTTCGGTCAAGCGAAGCAACTCTTTAGCTCTTTTGAATTTATTTTCTTTCTGTTGCGGTATAAGTTCTTGCACTTTTGGAAAATCAATGGCTTTACCCCGAGCTCATTTTTCAATATTTGCCGAATGGAATATTGCGATATTCAGCTCACGTGCCATTTTTCGGCCACCCGGGTTTCGTACACCTGTTGTATTTTAAAGGCAGTAATCCATTTTTTTTCTTTTTGGTAATGCAGGAGGTAATTATCTGTCATTACTGTAATGCGGATAGTTGCTACTTATTTTCCGTGTGCCAATTCTGATAAAACTCCGTGTTTCATCGGTACACCTTCCAAACTTCTGTCGAAATCATTCAAAAAAATGCGAACACAAAGACGCCAATAAATCAACTAAATAACATTTTAATTTGTATATTTGAAATAAATAAAACATTCACATATGTTGCTGCTACTACTCTTCTTTCTTTTTGTCTTCGTCGTCGTCGTTGTCTTCGTTTCTTATTCCCATTCTTCCCATTTAATTTTGCATACATTAAAATATTGGATGGGGAGGAGGGCAATAGACAAATGAAATGATTTGAAACGACGTAAATGGAACTTTTCTTGGCGGTAAAGACAACAACAACAACAACAACGAAAACAAAAACAAAAGAATAGCAACATCGCAAAAACAAAACAAAAACATAAGTAAATTAACAGCAATAACAACAACAACAACAACATGAAGAACAGCAACATCATCGTCATCATAACAAAAAGCCGAATGAACCCGATAGCAGGCTGGCGGCCATAAAAACATCAGCAATGAATAAAGAATGTCAAAACCCCCCAACAACCAGCCTGCCAGCCAGCCAAGAAGACCAAATGCTGCGAAGGCTGGTAGCAGCAGCAGCAGCATAGCATAAGAATACAAAAACAAAACAAATAAGTTAATGTATCGGTTGCGGGAGGATAGGGAAGAAGAGCAAGTTTCGACGCCGATGCTCTTGTTGGCGGCAGCAGTGACGGCCTCAGAGTGAATTCCTACCAAAGAACCCAAAGCAAAAATTGAAACAACGCAATTTATACAACAAATAAGTTTAGTGCGTGTGTAAATATGTACACACGCTTTTTCTGTTCATTTATGTGAATTATTTGCAAATTGTTGTTGTTGTTGCTCAACTTCACTATCTCTCTATCTATTTCAAAGTACTATATGAGTCATTCCATATGAAAAGTAAATAATTTATTACAGCTCTCGTTATTCGACTCTGAGGAATTTAGTGGCCTAGTTTCTTTTTATATTTCTGTAGTACATCGATAGAGCACCCATTGGAGGTTTTCCCGATGGCCTAGTTTTTGGCTTGTGCTTAGTCATGACCTGGATGATGGGTGGGTGACTTAAACAGTAGCCAAATTTACAATTTAAGTCATTTTTTGTTAAATATGTAAAAGGTCTTCCAACAAGAGGTGATTTTTGAAATACCGTATAATTCATTACATGGTAATGTAAACAAACAACTTTTTACACCCTCCACCATGCATAGTATGGACGGTATATTAAGTTCGTTAAGTATGTTAAGTTCGTAAATGGGCCATGTAGGTCCACGTTTTCATATAGCCACCATATAACGGTACCTCCCGATATTCGGTATTTTGATGATTTTAGCGACATTGTTAACCGGAATTGTTTAAAATTTGGTATTTGAAGTTCGTAATGGATACTACAGCCTAAGACAGAAAATTGTCTGTGCAGGTCCACGTCTTCGTAAAGCCCCCATGTAACGATATCTCCCTATATTCGGTATTTTGATGATTTTAGCGTCATAATTCACCGGAATTGTTTCAAATTACGTATTTAGAGCTTGTAATGGGAACTACAGTCTGTGACAGAAAATTGTCTATGCAGGTCCAGGTCTTCATATAGGCCCCACATACCAGTACCTCCCTATATTCGGTATTTTGACGAGTTTAGGTACAATAACCACCGAAAATGTTTGGGACGCGTATTTGAAGTTCATAATGGACGTCCGCTTGCTACAGCCTATGACAGAAATTTGTCTATGCTGGTTCAAGTCTTCGCACAGTTCCGTTAAACGCTACCTCCCTATATACGATATTTTGACGATTTTAGCTACATTATTCACCGTTTATTTCAAGTTTCGAATTTGAATATGGTAATGACTTA